GAATATTTCAAAAGAACTCTTTCGCTTGATGCCAATTAAAGAATAAATAGATCTTATGGCCAAGCACAGTGGCTCATGCCTATAATCCCAGCACTTTGGCAGGCTGAGGTAGGCGGATCACTTGAGTTTGAGACCAACCTGGCCAACATGGTGAAACCCAAAAAATACAAAAATTAGTGAGCATGGAGGTGTGCACCTTTAGTCCCAGTTACTCAGCAAATTGATGAGGGATAATCGCTTGAACCCTGGGAGGTGGAGGCTGCAGTGAGCCGACATTGCACCACTGTACTCCAGTCTGGGTGACAGAGACCCTGTCTCAAAAAATTAAAAAAAAAAAAATAGCTCTTCAAATTCTTCCACCACTTCTAATATTTATGCTGAATTTATCTAGGAGAAAAAGAGAACACAGCTATGGAGTGTCTCTTTCACACCTCAGTATATTTTCCAATAATTAGACTCTTCCCTTTCTCTACCAATAACTATGGCTCATCTCATGCTGTCATGCTCAAAAATCAAAGCACAATCCTTGGCCAGGGTGAGAATCAAAGACGGCCTTCTCCAAAAGTGCAAGTTACTACTCTCCTTGCTCCTCCACCAAGTTAGTCTCAACAGTTTCTGATTTTTGCCCACAGTTCAACTAGCAGCTTCTTTTAAAAGGGCGATTTCCATTCTATTATAAAGATACATGCAAGTGTATGTTCACTGCAGCCCTATTCACAATAGCAAAGACATGGAATCAGCCAAAATGGCCATCGGTGATAGACTGGATTAAAAAAATGTGGTACCTATATACCATGGAATACTATGCAGCCATAAAAAGGAATGAGATCATGTGTGTTGCAGGGACATAGATGGAACTGAAGCCATTATCCTCAGCAAACTGAGGAACAGAAAACCAAACACTGCATGTTCTCACTTTTAAGTGGGAGCTAAACAATGAGAACACATGGACACAGGCAGGGGAACAACACACATTGGGGCCTCTCAGGGAGGGCGGAATGGGGAGAGAGAGCATTGGGATAAACAGCTAATGCATACGGGGCTTACTACCTAGGTGATTGGTTGACAGGTGCAGCAAACCACCATGGCACATGTTTACCTATGTAACAAACCTGCATGTCCTACACGCATATCCCAGAACTTAAAATGAAAAAACTTTTAGAAAGGGAGATTTCTTGTGCATCTTAGGAAATACCTTTCAGGCCCCTCCCTAGCCTTCTCCTCCTTTAGCCTCATTCATACTCTCCCTAATGTAGGTGGCACTAATGTAGGTGGCACTTCTTTTGTGTGGCCAAATAGGAGGCAAAGAAAAAATGGCCGAGGATTGTGCCCAAGGTCACAAGAGAAAAGGTGAAGTAAGGATTTGGGGCTTCCTAAGACTTTGCCCAAGATTTGGGAGTCAGGAAATACTGCCTTTTTTTTTTTTTTTAGACAGAGTCCTCGCTCTGTCCCCCAGGCTGGAGTGCAGTGGCGTGATCTCAGCTTACTGCAACCTCTGCCTCGCAAGTTCAAGCGATTCTTCTGCCTCAGCCTTCTGAGGAGCTGGGACTACAGGTGTCCGCCACTATGCCTGGCTAATTTTTTTTGTATTTTTGGTAGAGACGGGGTTTTACCATAGTGGCCAGGCTGGTCTTGGAACTCCTGACCTCAAGTGATCTGCCTGCATCGGTCTCCCAAAATGCTGGGATTACAGGCCTGAGTCACTGCACCTGGCCAAGAAATACTGACTTTTGAACACTATTTGTGGTGTGCCAAAATTATTTGCAGCAAAACACTATAAATGGTTTATATTTAAGAGGAAGAAGGGAGGTCAGAGCATGCATGTTCCATGGGAAAGAAAACAAAGTCCTGAGGTTTCTGAGAGGGAGATGTAGGGAACTGGGGTCCTGTCCAGTCCAGTGGGCACACGGGAGATGAAAACAAAAGAAGGGAGGTTATCAGAACTGAGGAAAAGAGAAAAGGGAGCTGGGAACAAGAATGCGGTACTGCACCAGGGCAGTCAGATCAAGGAGGCCATTCACATACACTCCGAAGACTTATATATGCACATGTCCAGAAAATGCTTCCTAATGTGAAGCCACGCCCACACTATACATCCCCAAACAAGGAAATGGACATTCAGAAAATCCTTAAAACGCAGGAGAAAATGTGCACAGATAAGCCTACTTTCTCATCCCCTGACACAAGAAGCGGCTCACATGCATGTGAGAAGAGGCATGTGTGTGTGCACAAGAGGTGGCCCAGCAGATGGGTTAGGAGCATGGACCCTGCAGCCAGGCTAGCTGGCTGGCTGGGTTCGAATGCAAATCTTGCCACTCACTAGCTGTGTAACCTTGGACAAGTTACTTAATCTCTCTGTATCAGTTTTCTCTCCTGTAAAAAAGTAATAACACTGGCTGGGTGTGGTGGTTCACATCTGTAATCCCAACACTTTGTGAGGCTGAGGTGGGCAGATCACGAGGTCATAAGTTTGAGACCAGCCTGGCCAATATGGTGAAACCCCATCTCTACTAAAAAACAAAAATTAGCCGGGCATGGTGGCACGCACCTGTAGTCCCAGCTACTCGGGAGGCTGAGGCAGAAGAATTGCTTGAACCTTGGGAGGCAGGGGTTGCAGTGAGCGGAGATCACACCACTGCACTCCAGCCTGGAAGACAGACAGAAACTTCATCTCAGAAAAAAAAAAAAAAAATGTAGTAACACGACTACTTACCTACCTATTTATTAAAGGAATACATAAATTAAACAACACATTTAGAAGAGTGCCCGGCACACAACAAGTGTTACATAAGTAAAATAAATAACATGTGTACAAAGGGATGCACGGAGGAGACTAATGCTCAGGCTCTGAAATAGTCACTATAGAAAAAGTGTATTCCTCTAGCTACGTATTTATACTCTAATCAAAAGAAGATCTGCAAAAACTAAGACATTCTAATGTTGAAATAAGCAGATGACTACAAATCGCTGATCTAGAGGGAAAGAGAAACCAGTGCCAACTGGAAAAAAGTGGACTTGGGTAGGAGCATATGGAATATAAACTGCCTAAGAAATTATAAGACTATGCGGGGTGCAGTGACTCACACCTATAATCCCAGCACTTTGGGAGGCCGAGGTGGCTGGATTGAGAGGTCAAGAGATCAAGACCATTCCGGCCAACATGGTGAAACCCCATCTCTACTAAAATTACGAAAATTAGTTGGGCGTGGTGGCATGCACCTGTAGTCCCAGCTACTTGGGAGCCTGAGGCAGGAGAATCGCTTGAACCCTGGAGGCAGAGGTTGCAGTGAGCCAAGACTGCACCACTGCACTCCAGCCTGGGCGACAAAGTGAGACTCCGTCTCAAAAAAAAAAAAAATAAATAAATAAATAAAAGAAAAAGAAAAAGAAAACAAGAAATCAAAAGACTAGTTTTTACTCCAGATGTGATGCCACCATCAGAAGGTGGGGCTGCTGCAGGGCCTGGAGGTGAAGGCACAATTGCTATGGTTAGAGAAAGCCCAGTGTGTTAACATCCACGGGGGTACTCTGTTGCCAATTTAAGTAAGAGAGCATGGAAGTGAAATTAAGCTGCTGCTTCTACCATATTTCTCCTTACTTCATCTCTTACAGCCTGGTTCCTGGACCTAGCACTCTATGGCAACTCACCTCTTTGGGATTGTTAAGGACTTTCCCATTCCTATAGTCAAGGGCCTCATCTCCATTTTACTTGATATTCCTGCAGCATCTGAGACCAACAACAACCTATATTTTCTGAAACTTCCTTGTCCCTTGGCTTCCATTCAGCTCTCCTCTTACCTTCTTAATTACTTACAGCCTCTTTTACAGCTCTTACCAGTTCTTTTTAATTCTATCTCAGAAATTCCTTTGAAGTTAGACTTCAGCTTCATGCTCACAGATACTGCCTTAGTTCAAGGCTTTGTCATCTCCCCTGGATTTCAGCAGTCACACTGCTGGTCCTCCTGCCTGTCTCTGCATTCCCGTCCATCCTTTATGCTACTTCCAGAGTTACCTTCCCCAAAACAAATGTGGTCATCTGCCTCCTTTATAAACCTTCACTGGCCAAGTTCACACTCTCAACAATGTAAAACTCAAGTTTCACATATGAGAATCTTCATTCTCTTGCTCCAACTCACCCCTTTACTTGCACCTCTCATCTCTCTACTCACCCTAATCCACACTGAACATCTCACTGTTTCCTGAATATACTATGTCCCATGACACCGTGCCTGGACTTCTCTTCTCAACCTCTGCAATAGGGACAAGTCCATTTCTTCTTCCAAGACCCATCTCAACTGTCATCTCCTAAGGAATGTCCTTCTCAGCCTCCCTAAGCAGGGTTCTTCAGTTTCTGAGTGCCTACAGCACTGTGGGTAAACATCTTTTTTTTGTTTGTTTGTTTGAGATGGAGTTTCACTCTTGCTGCCCAGGCTGTAGCACAATGGCACAATCTCGGCTCACTGAAACCTCTGCCTTCCGGGTTCAAGCAGTTCTCCTGCCTCAGCCTCCCGAATAGCTGTGATTACAGGCATGCGCTACCACCCGGCTAATTTTTTTGTATTTTTCATAGAGACGGGGTTTCTCCATGTTGGTCAGGCTGGTCTCAAACTCCCAAACTCAGGTGATCTGCCCATCTCGGCCTCCCAAAGTGCTGGGATTACAAGCGTGAGCCACCGCGCCTAGCTGGCAAACATCTCTTCTAAGACATGCCATGCAAACTGTAACTGACCTGAGTTATCTGATTTTCCATTAAACTTTGAGCACCTCAAGGACAGAGCCAATTGTTCCTAAAAACTCCAGTACCCAGCATAGCACCTTGCACATAGTTGCCTCTCAGAAAACATTGGTTGAATCAAATGTAACCCTTTCATGTATTAGGAAAAAGAGAATCTTTAATATAACCAAATCATTGTTTAAGCATAGAAGAAGAAATCAAATGAGACTGCTTTGCAAAGCACCTGGTGCTATAGTCTCTGGGAAGAGAGTGGTCTGCTCCTCACCTCTGAATGTCCTTATTCTTCCACAAGGAGGCAGACTGAGCCTTTGGCACTCTTTCAATGAAATTCACCAGCTCTTCCATGAGAAGCCTGAGTTTAAAGAAAAAAAGTGAGGAACACCCATTAAAAAATTAGAGAAACACCCTACTCTAACAGTTGGCCAGGAGAAATGACTTGCCCACCTCCTCCTACACCATCTCATCATCATCTTCCTCTCTGCTGCACATAAACTTGATCACCAGTTGATATTAAGTTAAACAAAATCCTCACTCTCTTATTGCATTTCCGTGCTAAAAATCCTGAACTTAAATAATTTAATTCACCTTTAAAACAAGCCTGGCCCGTTTCTTGTCTCTAAACATAGAAATACACAAGCCTGTTTTAACTCTCACTCTAAGATCTCTACCTTTATGTTACTAAAAATACATAGGGAGAAGTTAAATGACTGTCAAGTATCTAATTTTGGTGACACAGCAGGGAATGGGCAGGATTTTTTTTTTTTTAAATTACAATATTAAATGAACTTTTTTTTTTTTGAGACTGAGTTTCACTCTTGTTGCCTAGGCTGGAGTGCAATGGCACAATCTCAGCTCATTGCAACCTCCGCCTCCTGGGTTCAAGCGATTCTCCTGCCTCAGCCACCCGAGTAGCTGGGATTACAGGCACCTGCCACCACACAGAGCTAATTTTTTGTATTTTTAGTAGAGACAGGGTTTCACTGTGTTGGCCAGGTTGGTCTCGAACTCCTGACCTCAGGCGAATCCACCTCTCTCGGCCTCTCAAAGTGCTGGGATTACAGGCGTGAGCCACCACGGCCGGCCTAAATGAACATTTTAAATGGATAAAATAAGTTTTCTTGACATGTTTTAGGAATTAGCAAAATTCCATCTGGAAGAATACTCCAAGGACAAATGGAGTAGGCTGCTAAATGCAGAAGGCTAGCTCTCTCTGAGATGAGCTGGAGTACCACAGAACCAGGGATGAGGAATCTAAGAAATGCTGCGCTATCAGTTGGATCAAGGTACACAGGCTTTGGGGATTCACAGGACAGAGAACTGCGGGAATTCTTGATGGCCAGAGGATGACCACAAAGCTAGAAATGGATTTAACACCTTGAATCCTCATTCCTAATCTAATACTGGTGATACGTATTGACTTAAATCCCCTCCAAGCTAACATATACATACTGTTAAGCCATTAATGTATTAGTATTTGAAAGCTAAACAACTTCATTTCATTCTCATTTATTTATTTGGCCTAATACCATCTCCTCCTTCCATCTTGAAGGAAGAGTGCTAGTTTCAACATCTCAAGACCTGTGATTCCAGCTCACTGGTGTCCTGGAAGTAGCTTTCATAGGAACAGTATGGTGTGCTGATCCTCACTGCTTTAACTTTTCCAGACTAGAGGCTAGTCTTTTAGCTTATCCTCTCAATTGAAATTGATGCATCACTTTGAGTGTTTTACTTTCCTATGAGAGCCCTTTCTCAGCAACCTTATGGTTACATACACAGTGCAGGTAATATGGTTTGACATAAAAACAAGAAAACACATTATTTCATCTATAAGACTCTAGAATCCAACCTAGGAGTCTACAGCAATTCTTAAGTCTCACATTTTGGGACCTGACAGTTTCAACTTATACCATTCTTATTCTTTCAAAAAAATAAATTGACAAATTTTTTTTTCTGGAGTAATTTTCTTTACCTAATTTCTCACTAAATGATACTATGGTTACTTGTGGTAACCACCCGTGTCACAAAGGCTTAGTAGGGGGCAGAGAAAGGGATGGCAGAGGCTTCTTAGAGTCAAAGGAAAACTGCAGTTTTACTCCTAGATTGCTCAGTTTCACTCCATCAACAGCAGAGACAACTTAACCATCTATTTACTTATCTATCCTATATTTTCTACAAGCTGTCTCCATTTATAGTCTACAACAAACCACAAAAGGGGGAATTTTTGAAAGCAAAGCAATAAAATGTCTTCTTAAAGATGCTACACTTTTTCTCTTTGAAGCCCTCTGCCTTGCATCTTTGTGGCATCTTCCTAAACATTACCTCCCCTAATTAGTATCCTCTGTACAGCTGTCTCCATGAACTCCTTCCAATTAATTTATAAGAAAAAGACCAACAAGGCTACTTGCACCATCAATCCTTAGGCATTTCCAATGAACATTCCTCATCTAGAGAGTCGTCTACTCCTGCCTGTTCTTTGGGTTAGTTGTTCAGAAGGAAGTAACCACCAGCTCTGGTATAATACTGTGACAGCGTCGTCACTGAAGGAGGAGCTCCGTAGCCACATCCTAGCGGGATCAGAATCAACCCTCTCACCTGCCGATCTGGACGGTCGGTTCCGTGGCATACACTGTGCCCGTGAAGCCAGTGTGCTCGGTGATGTATGGCAGCGCCATCATACAGTGATAGTTAGAGATGAGAATCACATCTACCGTAGACAGATCTATTAGCTCGGTCTGAAAAGAAAGGGAGGGAATGATATATATCTGTTCAGGGATCGATCAATATGATGTGACTAAAAAACGATGTTGTCAGAATGCAGAGAAGTAGTTTCTGTATTGCAGAATAACAATGGCTTTCCCTGCAACACTGCCATTCTCTCATTTGAAGAGGTTTTCTACACTGACATTAAGTAGCAGGACAGGATGGCCAGCAATGAGAACACAGCCAGCCCAGAGGCAGCACTCTGATTTTACTAGAACAGAATTCTTCTGAATTAGACTTATGAGGTTAAATGACAGCAGGACCCTTCGGCAGCTGCTGCCAGGCAAGTGAAACCAGGTAACTGGAAGCAGAGAGAGCAGCATATAGGCTGCAAGCATACACTAGAACACAACACCCCACTGCTACAGATTAATGGGCAATGGGGACGCAGCACACAGAAACCAGCTCTTCAAAAGCCAGATGGAGAGACAATTGTTTTGGTTTTTCTTTTGAGGTAACTTTTGTTAGTTTAGTGCTGGTTATAGAGCTCTCCAAAAAAGCAGAGTGGCAGTCATGAAAGGAAATTATCTTTTCATCTTCCATCCTAATCTTAACCCCAGATCTGCGCTTTGAAGTTCATCACTAAGGTCATGTAAAAAGGGAGAAAAGACAGGTTAGCAGGTGAGGGAAAAGGCTATCCAAGTTTGGGTAAATTTTAGGAAAACACCTAAAATTCTTCCATATATTTAAGTCCTACCAGTCTGTCAAGGCGCAATTCTCTTCTTCCACTAGGTCTTCCTGATTTGCTCACAAGATAGAAACCACAACTTCCTCAGAACTCCCAAAGTATTGTATGTGTAACTCAATTTTTAAATTTTTATTTCTTTTTGAGACAGAGTAGCTGGGATTACAGATGTGCCCTACCACGCCTGGCTAATTTTTGTATTTTTAGTAGAGATGGGGTTTCGCCACGTTGGCTAAGCTGGTCTCAAACTCCTGACCTCAAGTGATCCGGCTGCCTCAGTCTCCCAAAGTGGTGGGATTACAGCAAGCCACCAAGCCTGGTCTGTATGTGTAACTCTTATGACAGTTCACAATCTATACACAACACCTCAAAGTAGCACTTTGTCCTGTGTGACTCCTCTGTCCCCTCCCACCTGTGGCAGCCAGTACTTAACAAGCCTTGGTGTGCTTCTGTTGAAGGAATGCAGCTTTATTAGTGGCATGTTCTGGGAGAAGTGAAACACCGTGGTTCAGAGACAACCCGTCACTCACAGGGCCCTCCGCCGTGGAGGTACATTTCCCATAACTCTGGGAAATGTACGGTGCACTAAGGAAAAGCAAGTGACTCGGTTAAGAGGTGGGTCCTTGAGATAATACATCCCCACGAAGAAGAAATAAGAAGGATGATGTGACACAAGCAGATGAAGAGAGGCAGTGTGCCATTCTGGCTATGGGTATTTTTCAGTTGAGTAACTTTACAAACAAAATGAGTAATTTAATAAAGATGCCAGGCAGCATTGGCCCCCAAGGATAGGATGCCAGCAGAGCTCATAAACTACTCAGTGCCAGGGTACTGCTGTCTGTGTGAACACCATGCCTAATGAACAGCCAACCCATCCTAACCTTCACCCCAAGTTGTGCACTGCCCTTGCAAGACAGTGTCCTCCTCATGAAGGACCATATAACTCTTTGCTGGTCCTACTCTCCACTACCTCCCTAGCATCATTTTTAAATAAATAGGGAAATTAAGACGGAGTAGCACAGTGATAGATCCAGAAGAAAACAATGCGAATCACACTGAAGCAACAATAAAGCTGAAAACCATCGCCACCAGTCCTCATGTATACAGAAACTGGGTGAGAAAACTTGAAATTTCTCTTTAATGTCTAAGAACCAGCCCACAGAGTCTAGGATTAAAAAAATAAAAAATTATTCTGTTGGTATATATAAAAAATGTATGCTGACATAAAACATTTTTCCTCTGAGAAATTTAAATTCCAAACCACATTTATATACATGTAACTCTTGACCAACACAGCGGTTAGGGGTGCTGACCCCCTGGACAGTTGAAAATAACTTTTGACTCCCCCCAAACTTAACTATTAATAGCCTACTGTTGACTAGAAGCCTTCCTAATAACATAACTAACACATACTTCGCATATACACTATATACTATATTCTTACAATAAAATAAGCTAGAGAAAAGAAAACGTTATTAAGAAAATCATAAGGAGCCAGATGTGGTGGCTCATACCTGTAATCCCAGCACTTTGCGGGGCTGAGGTGGGAGGACTGCTTGAGGCCAGGAGTTTGAGACCAGCCTGGTTAACGTAGTGAGACCTAATGTTTAAACAATTAGCCAGGCATGGTGCTGCACACCTGTAGTCCCATCTACTCGGAGGCTGAGACAGGAGGATCACTTGAGCCCAGGAGGTCGAGGCTGCAGTGAATTATGATTGTACCATCACACTTCAGGCTGGGCAATAAAGTGAGACCCCATCTCAAAAACAAAAAAAATCATAAGGAAAAGAAAATACATTTACTATCCATTAAGTGGAAGTGAATCATCATAGAGGTCTTTATTTTTGTCATCTTCACATTAAACAGACTGAGGAGAAGGAGGAAGAGGGGTTGGTCTTGTTGGCTTGGGTGGCAGAGAGGAAGAAGTGTAGGAGGTAGAAGGCAAGGTAGCAGAAGCCAGCACACTCGGAGTGCTTACGGATATATGTCATAATTTGTTTGACATTTTCACGTTTTCATTTCTCTAAAAATGTTTCTATATGGTATCAACCCTTCTTCCACCATTTTAGTTTCTGTGCCCATATCATAGAAGGATCTAAGTTGTAAAAGAAGTCAAAAGCAGTCTTGAATAATCGCAACCCTTCTGCCTGTCTAATGTCAATTTGTTTTCCAGCACTGCTTCTTCTATGTCTTCTTCATCATCTGGCACTGGTTCAGAAGCACTCATCTTGGTCAGGTCATCTTCTGTTAACTCCTCTGGTGTGCTAATAGGCTCCTGAATTTCTCCAAGTTCCATATCTTGAAACGCTTCACCTCCCACTTTTTTTTTTTTTGTCATAGCCACAATCTCTTTCTTAAGTTCCTTGACTGGTTCTGTTGTAAATCCTGTGAAGTACAACACCTGGACACAGTTTTCTCTAGCAGGAATTTATTTATTGTTTCAGGCTTCATAGCTCTTTCTATAACAATGATGGCAGGTTCAATGGTGTAATCCTTCCAGACTTTCATGATGTTCCATTGGGGTCCTCTTCCATAGAGCTGACAGTCCTTTCCATAGAGTACTGTGATGAGGCTCAAAGGTTCTTATGACCTCCTGATCTAGAGGCTGAATTAGTGATGGTGTGTTTAGGGCATTAGACCACTCTGACACCTTTGGAGTTGAACTCATGGGATTATGGGTGGCCAGAGGCATTGTCCAATACTGAAAGAACTTTAAAATGCAGTCCCTTAGTGGCAAGGTACTTCTTGACTTCAGGGACAAAGCATCAGTGAAACCGATCCTGAAAAGCCGTTCTCGCTGTCCAGGCCTTCTTGTTGTACAAGCCAAAGACTGGCAACTGGTGTTTACCTTTTTCCTTCAGGGATCAGGGGTTGGCCACTTTATAGATAAAGGCAGTCCTGATTAAAAACAAACAAATAAACAAACAAAAAAACCCGAGTGCATTTGCGCAAAACAGTAGAGTTAGCCTATCCCTTCCTGCCTTAAGTGTTGGAACTCACTTCTCTTCCTAATAAATGTTTTTTTGTGACATTTTCTCCCAGATTAGGACACTTTCATCTGCATTAAAAACCCATTCAGGCAGATAGTCTTTCTCCTCAGTGATTTTCTTAATGGCATCTAGGAATTTGTCTGGTGTCTCTTGGCTGGAGGAAGCTGCTTTTCCTGTTATCTTGACATTTTTTTAAGCTTTCCTTTTGCTTTAAGTTGTCATACAATGATTTCACTTTTTCTTGAATCACATCAGAGTCTATAGGTATGCCTTTCTTACAGCAGACTTGCACCCACGTAATGCTGCATTTTCAATACGAGGTAAAAATGTATTTCACAAGAAGTACAAGTTTTCATGCCTGCTGGTGTAGCTACAGTGACAGCTTCATGTGTTTTCTCTTGTTTTTCTTTTCTTTTTCCTTTTTTTTTTTTTTTTTTTTAACATGGTCCTTTTTTACAATGGTCCTTATGCTGGATTCATTTGTCCCGAAATGGCGGGCAATGTCAGCTGCAGACTTCAATCTACATATCAGGCACTTCAACTTTTCCTTGTAATGCCACGACTTTTCTTTGCTTCTTGGGAGCACTTCAAGCATCACTAGCGGCACTTCGTATGGGTCCCATGGTGTTATTCAAGGTTAACGGTACTGCATTAAACGTGACGCAAGATCCATGAGAATTGTGAGAGATCACTCTTTACTGCAATACGCAATTTATAGGAGAGGGGAACGGCTCACATGGAGATGACTGGCATCACATGGTGTTTTAAGCGGACACTTGAGCTCACCACAACAGTAACAGGAGGTGGCTATGAAGTTATAGACTGTACTACAGTTTTATGCACGTGATTAAATACTGAATCTTAATGCTCATTTATGTTTCTTTCGAGTGCAAATCGTGTCATGTATGGTCTGTAAATGTTGGTGTGCATAGTTTTGATAAATTTTAACTTTTTCAGCTGGGCGCGGTGGCTCAAACCTGTAATTCCAGCACTTTGGGAGGCTGACGCAGATTGCTTGAGCTCAGGAGTTCAAGACCAGCTTGGACAACAAGGCAAAACCCCTCTCTACAAAAAATACAAAATTAGCAGGGTGTGGTTGTGTGCATCCGTGGTCCCAGCTACTTGGGAGGTTGAGGTGGGAAGATGGCTTGAGCCAGGAAGGCGGAGGTTGCAGTGAGCTGAGATTGAACTACTGCACTCCAGCCTGGGCAATAGAGCCAATGAAAAAAAATTATTGGCTGGGCGTGGTGGGTCATGCCTGTAATCCCAGCACTTTGGGAGGCCAAGGTGGGTGGATCACCCGAGGTCAGGAGTTTAAGATCAGCCTGGCCAACATAGTGAAACCCTGTCTCTACTAAAAATATAAAAATTAGCAGGGCATAGTGGTGGGCACCTGTAATCCCAGCTACTTGGGAGGCTGAGGCAGGAGAATCGCTTGAACCCAGGAGGCTGAGGTTGCAATGATCCAAGATTATGCCACTGTACTCCAGCCTAGGTGACAGAGTGAAACTCTGTCTCAAAAAAAAAAAAAAAAAAAAAAATATTTCTCTTTTTATAATAAATTTGTGTATACTTTATGATGGTAAACGAGAAAATAGACTACTGTCTATACATACTTTATGAATTAATGACATGTCTAACGTTTTCTTAATTTGCTATTTCTCGACTATGCAGTTCATCTGCAAGTTTTTTCAAATTGTCATAATGAAAAACTCCACATGTAAGTGGACTTTTCCAGTTCAAACTCATATTGTTCAATGGTCAACTGTACTAACATATTTACTTACATATGTTCACTCAATGGAATCCAGTAAAGATTACTCTAACTTTAAAACTGTTGTATACCAACACTTGGGGTTCTACAGACCATAAATTCAATCAAAACAACCCTCATTTACTGGTTGCGTACTGTACTGGGATACAAAGATATATAAGCTATTTGTACTAGTTTGTAAATTTCATGACGATTGGGACCTTGGCTGTGTGGCTCACCCACAAGTCAGTGAAGACTGGGCTATAATAAGTGCCTCTCTCCTGCTTCCATTACTCTCCCATTTTTTTTCCAATCATACAAGGCCTGGCTCTACCTTAAAACAGTGACTATTACTAATTTGTGCCCTAAAATCTTGCCTGAAAAAATGTATATGGCTCTAGAACCCTAAATATATCAATAATCCTTTAGCTTGGCAAAAGTGAACTGTGGAATGGTAACTGTCTAATTTAAAAGCTGAGTATCCTAAAGAGTAAGTCAGAAAGCCACCGGAACACCAATTCATAAATTCTACAGTGGTGTCCATAAACAGAAGGTTGCAGTAGTCAGTATCACACGTGGTCAACTGAAAACAAATGTAGCACCTAGGATCAGGAATCTTCAAACAGATGGTGAACTGCCCTACCAATTCCTAAGTGACAAATGAGGATGACAAAATGACTTTGGTTAATGGTGAGGGAGAGCTCTGGATTCTTGGATTCCTTCAGCTTTAGGCTTACTACTAAATCTCAAACTTTCTCCCTTATCTGCCAACTTCAATTACCACGTTTGTCTGTGTTTCTTTTTCTGTTTGCTCTGGTACCCTCAAAGACATATACACATACTTCCAAGAGAGATAAAAATGTTGATCTACAGGATATTAAACAAAGCGTAGAAATGGAAAGAGAAGGAAGAAGAGAAAACAAAAATAAGAGAAACTGCACTCCAAATTCTTTTTCTCTTTGGCCCTGAATTTGTGGAAGTATTTTCTACAGGTACTGTGATCCACTGGGCATATGGAAAAAAGAGGATGGCACCTTCTCATGAACCTGCGAGCAGCTCCGGCTTTCCACATTTCACATGTCTGTTAAGAACCGCATCTAGGCTACTCTGGGGATTAGGTCTCTCAGCTGAGATTAGCTGCCTTTAAAACAAACGGAAACTGATCTTAGTTTCCCTTGAAAGGATGAAACTGGCCCCACACCCTAACAATAAGTCTCACTATGATAATAATAAGTAACTGTTTTCTATGACTCAGTTCAGAATCTATGAATTTCAAACAATATTAAATATGGTATTTCAAGTCAGCAAGAATTTTTACAGTTTACTGGCATTGGCTAAATAATAGCAATTGTCAGTTATCCACCATAAAGCAAGACCAGGACACATATGGCTAACCTAAGCACATAGGCATCAGAATCATAAAACTAAAAGGCTTGAGTTATTTCCTTACCTTGCTCAAAACATGCCCTAGTAGGAGTATTAGTGGGGATTACAGAAAGAACAGGAAATAGGAAGAAGAGAGTGACGTAAATGACTTACAGACAATATAAAAAGCTGCTAAATGATCACATTTTGGCTGTGTAACAATGTGCCTGGAATAACGGATTCATTTAAACTTGAAAACAGGAAGCTAAGCCTCTTAAAATTATTTCTTGACTTCATTTTGAGCAATTACATAATAAGGTTTGTTTCTACAATAAGATTCACCTTAATCTTACCTCTGGTAAACAGAATTCAGGCACAGAATCCACAAATACATGACCCGAGCACTCCTTTAGCTCCTAAAAGAAATGAAAAGGAAAAACACAAGGAAGAGATACCCAGTACATATAGGACCAAATAAATATACTCCTCAAACAAAACTTTTCACGAAGAATCATAGACTACTAGAGTTGGAGGGAAGCTGGGAGGTTATTAGGCCGACTGTCCTGTGTTTAGGCTCAGGCAGGCCAAGTGTCTTACTAAGGGTAAAATGCTGGTTGGTTGCAGACTCAGGACTTGAATGCACATTTTTTGAAACCTCTTCCATGCATGGGTATATGCTGCTCCCATAACCCACAATCCAGTGGTTTCCAAATAAGGTATGCAAACTGTACTAGCAACACCAGAATTATGTGGGGACGTGGATTACAAAAAAGATCCCTGGCCCTATCTAAGACTGAAGGGATCAGAAACTGGGGATGAGGCCATGGAATGTGTGTTTATAACAAGCACCTCCAGTGATTCTGTTATGCTGTCAGGCTAGGAGTCATGGCCCTACATAAACTGTTTAGAGGCTTTTTCTCCACCTACCAAGGGTTGGGAGGAAAGGGGGACGTAAGGAGGGAGGGTCAAGAGCCTGAAACAGGGATTCAGCATCCACCACCAGCACTACCACCATCACCACCTCCTCCGCTACCACAAGTACCACCACTGCCTCCACCATCACTACCACCACCACCTCCACCTCCACCACTGCCACCTCCACCTCCACCACAACCACCACCAGCACCACGAATATAACGTTTTTCCTTGCACAACATACCATTTATTTAGCATTATAAACCAAATGTATTTATTCAAAAGAAAAAAGTATATGTATAAATAAATAGATATAGTCCAGCTTCTCACCCCACCCATGACCCACCAAATTTAATAAACCTGTCTTTCCCCCACAGACTGACCCTGAGAAAAGAGTTTGACAGAAGGTAGTTCATATGGGAGGTGCTGAGAAAACAGAGTAGAGAAGTGATCAGTGCAAAGGAAGGTGACAGATAATGGCTTTGTCACTGAGCCACATACAACTTGGGGCAACTGGAACTTATCCCCATGGGGAAACTCAGAAATGATCTAACACAGACAGCTCCAAATTATCCCACTGAGGAGCAATGGGGCTGAAATGTTTATATACCAACTCCTGCATTTTGTGCAGCCTCAGGAAAAAAACTCTCAGGCAAAGCCATACAGACACTGGCAGATGGAATTATGACAGACGACAGTGAAATAGCAAAGTCCGAGAGATATGGGTGGGCTACCAATAGGGTCTGCTACGATGCCTCCTGAAGGCCACTAATGCTTTCTCCTCTCACTGACACTTTAAACTGAAGTCCACAGTGAATTTTTTGCACCATCAAGGTTAAAGCTACCTATGACTTCACACTGAAACCAGTAAAAGATAGAATGTGGTTGACAGTTTCCTTTGCTCTTTCCAGAAAGGGAAAGATACTTTTGTAATTTTGTTCTATCATGTTTCCATTAGTCACTCAACATATATTATACGTATCTATATATACATGTATCTATAGTTACATATCAGAGTCTGAATGATTTTACTCTCAATCTTTATCTGAAAATAGGGCACTGACTACATAGTACTGTCCTTTTGAATGTTACAAGTCTCATATCAGAACCTTGATAGACAATTTCCTCCCCTTGCCTTCCATTATACACTCTGGTTCCTCTCCTTAGATGAGTACCATTTAACTAGTGACAGGCTGAGCCAAAAGGAGACTGAACACTTTTCTTAATTACAATGTACCTGCCAGCTAAAAACAAATGAGCAATTATGTTTAATGGGAGAAGACTCCCCACTCCCTTAGGATGAGGTTAAAAATGATTAAAGACAAATCATGGGAAATTTCAAAGCTTTGCCTGGCCTTAAATGGGCTATGTAATCTTCTTCCCCATAATGCTACATTTCAGGACAGGGCATATGATGAAGTCTCCTCACAGGCTCTCATCCTTCCTGACCTGCAGAAGCATATTTGCCATTCCAAACACTTACAATGTCACTGTATTTTATTCACCACTCCCTTCTAATGAAATACTCCCACATACACATGCAAGTCATTTCGCTCACAATGCGCTGGTAATGGGATGCTTCAGAGCCTTTTGCAGGGAACAATGATTTATAGCCAGCAGGAGAATCAGGCTGAAATCAGGTGCACAGGTTTCTGAATGTCACATAATTTTACAGTCAGCTCTGAAGAAAATCTGGTTTCAAATTATGCATTTGGCTTGTACTTGAGGCTACAGTGCAGTTACAGGAATTAATTCTGTAAAAAGAACACCTCTTTATTTAATAGTATCTATTACAAGAGAAAATGCTTTATTTAGATGAATCATGTTAAGCATCTTTAAACTCTTAATTTTTCAAATGTGAAACTGAGGAAAGGAAGAATGATTTAGGGGACTAAGAAGTGGCCTGAGGGGGCTTTACAGTCTTTAACCTTCCTATACCTCTGATTTTAGTACAAAGTTTGACTAGCTTATAGTTGGAACATTTTTTGGTAGCTTTAGTCTTTCATTTATTAAATAACTGTCTAACTATTGATCCGAGGAAGAAATTACTGAAAAGATAACCTAATGTCAAAAATTTAATAGCCTCAAAGAGAAAGAAGTAATTTAAGCCATTTATTTTAGGTGTAGTCAGTCATTAAAGTCATAATAGAACTCCAAATCCCAGATTCCTAGAACTGTTTTTTTTTTTTTTTTTTTTAAATCATCTATAGAGATTATCCATTCTAGACTATCAGGACAGGCTGAAATGGGATCACAGATCATAGTGTGGGAGACCCTCTACTCAAATTTACCTAAGAGCACTGTCCCCTGCACACGAAGGCACTGCCGGGGAAGTCAAACACTCTGCTCCTCAGACCATTCCCCACACAGTGGCCAGAGTGATCCAATCTGACAATGCCACTGTCCTTCTGTAACCTTCTGTGGCCTATTGTTACCCAAAAAAGAACCAAGCTTTTTACAAAGCCCTACCTGATCTCACCCTTCATAGAAGCAGTTTAAAACTCATCTACTTGAGGATTTTAAAGTTATTTTAAAAAAGGTTTTACTCTTTTCAATCACAAAATGAACTGGATTGATTCTTTAAAAAACCTTGTCTTTGAAACACTCATTGCAATTCTAGAAATAACAGTTTTCTTTCTGCGGTGATAAAAGGTATTTGCAGCAGAAGTACTTAAATTTCTACACATGAGCAAAATGGATCTGAATCAGAACAGTGACATTCTCTAAAAGGCACTTAAAAATAGTAGCTACCATGTCCTGAAGACCCCAGCATAGATATTGGGGTTTTTCAGAGAGGGAAAAAAAAAAGCCATCAGTCACACTACTACAGGGTGGCTCTGGTATGAGAAGATAACTTTCCACTGTGTATAGATATGCTTTAGTTTGTAGTCTTAGATATTACCTTGTCCAAGAAAGCATTTCCATCCTTCAGGGACCAGCCAGGAAGACTGGACAGCCTGGGACTGCAAAACAAAATATTAAGATTAAGTTAACCTAGATAGATTATAATCCTCAATGATTTCATGGTAACTGTACTGTCTCCATAAAGTTAAGAACAGTTTAAAATTACTGGTAGTAGTTCTTATCCTAAATACCAATCAAATATAAGAGAAATAACCATGTTGTATCAAGCTTAAAAATTATGTGGCAATAGGATATTAAAAGGTCAAACAGTTTGGCGGAAAATTGGAAAAACTAAAAGAATCGTATGCAGAATAATAAAGAAAAAAGAAAGATGAGACATGAGAGGCTTTTATAGTTGTCCAGTCACCCCATCTTCTTTCCCATGTGTCTGGCCACAGTCCTTAGACAGGGCAGAACAGGCATCATCTTATTGCGGATGAAAAAACAGATGCGAATAGGAGCTCTGATGAGAACACTGCCCTACTATCTCCCCGTCAGCATTCACCACAAACACGAATACCCGAATTCCAGTCCAATCCATGCTTTGGGTTCACAGCTTTACAAGTGGATTAGTCACCTGTCACCTGTGACTTGAGCTTCCAATTCTGGAGAATGAAGCTAGTTTTCCCAAGTGTTACAAAATGACACCATGTCTAAAGTGAACAGCTTCTAGCAGATGAGGTCAATTTCATGTGTATGTTACATTTTAAAAATCTGAATTAAAAAATCATTTACTACTAATAATCTAAAGATTTAACTGTGTACTACTAGTTGACCAGAAGAAATATAATGCAAGCTGAAAGTGCCAATAACTCAGGAGAGAAAACAGTATGCTGGTAAAATTAAAAGCGTAATGACCAAGGTAATGTGTGAAGAAAAAGCCCATCAGGATTCCAAGTTGGATGGCAAAAGGATTTCAGCACTCACTACAAAATTATCTTCTGTGATGCAAAAGTTAAGGACAAAGTAAGGGTGCGGGACTAAAAGAATCAGAAACCAAGTATCTGTAAGGTCTCTCTTCCTCTTCTCAAAATAATTTGGTCAGATGCTAAGTCTGTAAGTAGATAGGTATGAAAGTCAACATAAAAGCATAAATATGTGAATATCTGTCAATCTTTTAGAAATGGTTAAAAACCTGAATAAAATATAAACGCATCTACTTTCAGAAAAAAGTGAGAATTGGGGGTGGGGGTAAGTTTTTCGTTGTTGTTGTTGTCATTGTTTTTTGAGACGGGATCTCGCTCTGTCACCCAGGCTGGAGTGCAGTGGTGCAATCGTGGCTCACTGCAACCTCCGCCTCTTGGGTTCACGCCATTCTCCTGCCTCAGCCTCCCAAGTACAGGTGCCCGCCATTACATCCGGCTAATTTTTTGTATTTTTAGTAGAGACGGGGTTTCACCGTGTTAGCCAGGATGGTCTCGATCTCCTGACCTCATGATCCACCCGCCTTGGCCTCCCAAACTGCTGGGATTACAGGCGTGAGCCACCGCACACAGCCGGGGGTGGGGGTTAAGTTTTAATTATTAGGTTGGTGCAAATAATTTTGACATTAATTCCAAACTTACAGAAAAGTTGCAAGGATGTGAATACAATGGACTCTCACATACCCTTTATCTAGATTAACTGTTTACATTTTGCCTTTATTTATCCAAAAGTGAGAATACTGATGTATATTAGAGAATGAAAATCACTACTGGAGGCCAGGTGCAGTGGCTCACACCTGTAATCCCAGCACTTTGGGAGGCCAAGGTGGGAGGATCATTTGAACCCAGGAGTTTGAGCCCAGCCAGGGCATCATAGTGAGACCCTGTCTTTACAATAAATTAAAAAATTAGCAGGCTGTGGTGGTACACGCTTGTAGTCTCAGCTACTTGGGAGGTCAAGGAGGAAGGATCACTTGAGCCCAGGAGGTCAACGCTGCAGGAAGCCATGATCGTGCCACTGCAACAAAGTAGAATCTTGTTTTGAAACAAGACCCTGTCTAAAAAAAACAAAAAAAGAAAATCACTACTGAGAGAATCAAATTTGACTGGTATAAATCACACCTGATAACTTTTTTTTTTTTTTTTAAACTCTGGGAGTTTTTTTAAAAAGTTTTAAAAATAAACTCTGGGAGTTTTCTGCTCTAACTTTTCAGAAAAATATACTATTACCATTAGTTGTTTTAATTCCCACCTCATTTCATAGTCATATATTTTGAAGACTTCTTACTTCTTGAAAAATATATTTGCTATCAGATCAGATTAAGAAAGCAAGTATTCCAATAAAAGTGTAATGACAAGACAATGTGGACACTGTTCTCATTTCATGCATGTTAACTCTCTAAAACAAGGTTGTAAATATCTACTTCCCTTTATAAAGATAACTGGATCAAAGGACACACACTCTGTCTGTTCCCCATCAGACCCACACAAATCAGATGACAGATGCAGTTAGCTGTCCTCAACAAACGTTTAGAAATAGTAAGTTGCTTATCAGAATATAACTAATTTTTTAACAAGCAAAATTTTCAGGTGTTGTGGTTTACACTCCTGGAAAACATTTTTTTAATAACATCAAAGCCATCTATTATACCTGGGTGGTTACTTTGGGTTAGAGCCACTGCTAGTAGATGAGACTGAATGCTGAAAGGAAATCATGACCACGTTGTAACAATAGTGCCAATGACAAGGGGATGCAAATACATCACCACATGGCAAAGGGATGCTGACTATAGAGATGAAAATATTTGCTTACTGTGTTCCAATGAGTTAATGAATAAACCACAAAGAGTAAATTTTAAGTTACCAAAGGGGAAGGGACTTAGTTTTTTGCTTTTAATGATTACAAAGTTCGATGGTGTAAACTTTGTAAACAAGGAGCTAGAGATCTTTCCACAGAAATCTAATAAAATGGCCAGGCACGGTGGCTCACGCCTATAATCCCAGCACTTTGGGAGGCAGAGGTGGGTGGATCACCTGAGGTCAGGTGTTCGAGACCAGCCTGGCCAACATGATGAAATCCCATCTCTACTAAAAATACAAAATTATACGGGCATGGTGGTGCTTCCCTGTAATCCCAGCTACTTGAGAGGCCAAGGCAGGAAAATCACTTGAACCTGGGAAGCAGGGGTTGCAGTGAGCCAAGATGGCACCACTGTACTCCAGCCTGGGCAAAAAGAGCAAAATTCCATCTAAAAAAAAAAAAAGAAAAAAGAAAGAAATCAATCTAATAAAACATGGGAGGTAAAGGTGCCCAAAAAAAAAAAAAAAAAAAGATTGTAGAAGAGCACATCTTTGCACCCGCTATTTTACTAACATTTCTTAGGAAAAAAGGATACCATTAAAATTTTTAGTCGAAAAAATGTATAAAAGATTTTTAAAGGGGCCAGGCGCGGTGGCTCACGCCTGTAATTCCAGCACTTTGGGAGGCCGAGACGGGCAGATCACGAGGTCAGGAAATCGAGACCATCCTGGCTAACACGGTGAAACCCCGTCTCTACTAAAAAAATAGAAAAAACTAGCCGGGTGAGGTGGCGGGCGCCTGTAGTCCCAGCTACTTGGGAGGCTGAGGCAGGAGAATGGCGTGAACCCGGGAGGCGGAGCTTTTAGTGAGCTGAGATCCGGCCACTGCACTCCAGCCTGGGAGACAGAGCAAGACTCCGTCTCAAAAAAAAAAAAAAAAAAAAAAAAAAAAGATTTTTAAAGTAAATTGTTTATTTTGGAAAAATAGGTAAATTATTCTAAGATTTCTGTGGAAAGATTTACGAAGTTTACACAGTTGAACTTTAATGCTTAAAAGCAAAATAACCTTAGACAAGTAATCTATTGCCTAGGAAAATACTGAAAAGAAGATTGAACATTATACACAATTTCTTTTTTTTTTTTTTGAGGCGGAGTCTCGCTCTGTCGCTTAGGCTGGAGTGCTGTGGCGCCATCTCGGCTCACTGCAAGCTCTGCCTCCTGGATTCCTGCCATTCTCCTGCCTCAGCCTCCCGAGTAGCTGGGACTACAGGCGCCCGCCACCACGCCCGGCTAATTTTTTGTATTTTTAGTAGAGATAGGGTTTCACCACTTTAGCCAGGATGGTCTCCATCTCCTGACCTTAGGATCCGCCCGTCTCGGACTCCCAAAATGCTAGGATTACAGGCGTGAGTCACCACGCCTGGCCTGCAATTTCTTTTTTATTTTTATTAAAGACAGAGTCTTACTCTGTCGCCCAAGCTGGAATGCACTTGTGAGATCACAGCCCACCGCAGACTCAAACTCCTGGGCTCAAGTCTCAGCCTTCCAAGTAGCTGGGACTACAGGTACATACCACCACATCCAGGTATGAAATGTATTACTTTTACAATCAGAAAATAATAATGAAAGAGGCATGAGTCCATTCATTCATTTATTCAAAAAATACTAACAAGCTTAATTCCCAGTGCAAAGTGTTGGAATGATAGTAAATAAACAATCCTTTCCTTTTAGGAGTTTGCAATCTAGTATAGGGAGTCATTACACCAGAATAAAATAAGAGCTCTGACAGGGGTACACAGGAGGTGCCATGGGTTCACAGAAAGTGCACTTTTGACAGTTTGCAGTGAGGTGGTAGAGTAGAAAATAGGAGTTAGGAAGTGAAGGTGGAGGAGGTCTTTCAAGAAGGAAACAGGGAAGAGCCTCATCACAGGGTGCGGTGTTGCAGGTCAGTGAGGTGCTCATCTTTTCACTCACTGATTTAGGAATCTTTATTAGTATGTCAAGATGTTGGTGACAGGACTAGGTGCCAGCGATAGGACTGTGAGCAAAATACTCCCTCCTCCTGAGGAAGCAGGCGAGGCACACGAATCCAGTCAGCATGCAAATTGATGGGGACAAGTGGAGGCAGCATCAAAAAATTTCCCTGGGGACACGAGGACTGAGTTGAGATCTGGACAGGAGCAGAGTCAAGGGGAAACTGGGGGCAGGGCCTGAGGGACTAGAAAAAGTTTAGCTCCCACTTACAGGTGAGAACATACAGAATTTGGTTTTCTGTTCTTATGTTAATTCACCAAGAATAATGGCCTCCAGCCGCATCCATGTCACTGCAAAGGGCA